GATGGCGAAGTCAGTATGAAGTGTGTAAGCACCTTTATAGAAGAGGTTTTATGTCAAACTATTATGTTTGGTTGGCTCATGGAGAAACGTATGATACGTCGTCATAATTGGCACAAAAAAAGTATATTTTGGGAATTGCCATATTGGAGACATCACAAGTTGCGACACAATCTTGATGTCATGCATATCGAGGAGAACTTTTTCGATAACATCATAAACACGGTGTTGAATGTACCTCAAAAGTCGAAGGACAATCCAAACTCAAGGAAGGATATAAAATCAATTTGTTTGAGGAAGGAGTTGGAACTTACAGAAGATGGGAAAGCACCGGTTCCAGTTTTTCGTGTATTTGGAGAAGCGCAGAAGAATTTTTTTCGGTGGTTGAAGGATGATGTAAATTCCCCGATGGTTACTCTTCAAATCTGGCCCGATGTGTTGATATTGCAGGGAATAAATTAACGGGTATGAAAAGTCATGATTGTCATGTCTTTATGCAACGATTGCTTCCAATAGCATTTGCAGAACTACTTCCACAACATGTACACGAGAGTCTATCAGGTATGTCAATATATTTTTTTAATGTTGTTTTTTAATATGTGAACTATATATATATAAACTTGATACGTGGTTGTTGTGCAGGGATCAGCTCATTTTTTCGGGTGATTTGCAGTCGGACGCTTAAACTTGTAGAGGTTTCACCATGCTGAAACAAAACATAGTTCTCGTAATTTGCAATTTGGAAAAAATATTTCCACCGTCATTTTTTGATGTGATGGAACATTTACCAATCCATCTACCACGAGAAGCAGAACTTGGTGGACCAGTTCAATTTCGGTACGTTATAATTAATTACTGTGTTTCGTTTAATTAATATATAATACATATATATGCATACTTGTTTACATATATAACTGATGATTGTTTAATTTTTGTTTTTAGGTGGATGTACCCGTTTGAAAGATTTATGTACCATTTGAAGAAAAAGGCAAAACAAAAAGCCTTTGTTGAAGGATCAATTGCTGAACAGTATATCAATGAGGAAATATCATTCTTTACCTCATATTATTTTGAAGATAATGTGCCAACAAAAAGCAGAAGTATAAGAAAATCATCCCATTGCGATGATGGTCCTACTTATCCGACGAATGCAAATATTCCCCATATATTTGACAGAAAAGGAAGATGTGGTGGTAAGGCCAGCGATGCCTACTTATCTGAAAAAGACTATCATGTGGTACATACTTTTGTATTGTTTTTAGGGTTTAGGGTTTATTTTAGGGTTTAGGGTGAATTTTAGGGTTTAGGGTTTATTTTAGGGTTTAGGGTGAATTTAGGATTTTAGGTTTCATTTTAGGGTTTAGGGTTCATAGTTTATGGTTTAGGGTTCATTAGGGTTTAGGGTGAATTTAGGGTTTAGGGTTTAGGGTTTTGGGTTTAGGGTTTAGGGTGAATTTTAGGGTTTAGGGTTTATTTTAGGGTTTAGGGTTTTATTTTAGGGTTTAGGGTTTATTTAGGGTTTAGGGTTTA